AAAAGCAGTATCACTTTTGAGGATCGCTCATATGACACATGGAACATTCATTATTCATTGTGTTTTGAGACAAAAGGTCTTTCTGTTTCTGCTCTATGCTGAAACATTTTAAAATTATTTGGAGATGGAAACCAGTTTTGAAAGCCCCAGGTACATCCTTTGTTGGCAACCGACACCCATCCTAAAGGAGGGCCTAGCACATTATCCAACACTCCGACAGTTAATTCAAGGCCATAAAGCCAGTTTTACTGAAGATTTCATCAGAAGAGTGAAGACAGAGTTACATTGCACACTGCAGAGTAAAACTTAATAAAAATGTTGATTAGATACCTCTGTTTTCTCCTCCTGCCCCAGAATTTCCTTCTTGGTTGCCAACCCCCCATCTCCTATTACCCCTCCTCCTGCCTTTGCCCAACTTTCTCATCATGCCTTCCCATTGCCCCTCCTCCTTGGGCAGAGTGATGCAGGGACCGCCCGGCTCCTCCTACCTCAGGCCCATCACCCTTCCCTCCAAACCAAACATTGTCCTTGGGCACCTTGGCTTCTACTTTTCTTGGGTTTGCCTGTGGGAGACAGAAAGAAATAATGCTTCCCTCTCATGGAGATTCATTTTCTATGCCCTTTTTTTTGGACATTAGTAAACATAACCCCCACCCTCACTTCATCGAACATAAGACAGAGTCTCCAGGGTTTGAAGGCAGAAGAGAATGGCTAAAGAGACAAGGTTGGAGAATGAACTCATCTCAGGTGGGACCTGGCAGGGATAGACACGACACCACTGGGCTGCAGCAGGGTGCCTTGGTGGGGTAGGCTCTTGGTTTTGGTCTGCTGACCTGGGTTAAGCTTTGGGCCAGGCCTCATTCAGCTCTGTGTCCCAGGACTGGTGCCCGACTAGATGCACATAAATATTTGATGAACAAATACTCTTAGGCAGGCCAGCTGGTTTGCTTCTCAGCCACAGTTTCCTCACTTGAAAAAAGGGGATCGAGTGCAATGGCTCATGCCTGTAATCCTAGCATCTTGGGAGGCTAAGATGGGAAGATTGCTCGAGGCCAGGAGTTCGAGACCCCCTTGGTCAACATAGAGAGAACCCATCTCTATTAAACAAAGAAAAGAAAGAAAGAAAGAAAGAAAAGAAAAAAAGGGACAATAATCTCTTCTCTCTACTTCTAAAGTTATGGTGAGGATCAGGTAAGTTGACAGGCATAAAGGCACCAAGAAAGTATGAAGAAAGAAAATCCTTGCCTGAGTCTTCAGGACTAGGAGTCTTCGGCTGTGACCACCTCCCACCCCCTTTCTTCTCTTCCTGATTCATTTTTTCTTAGTTCCCTCAGGTTCTGTCTCCTTTCCATCTGCCCTCAGCAAATCCAACAAGATTCTGTCTGGTACATCAATGTAGTGTGGGGGAAGAAAAGATCCTGTCTGGGTAAAGGATCAGTGAACAGTCATTTACACCTGAATGTGAGTTTCAATCCTCATTCCTTCTGCCAGACTTTGGCTCCACTCCTTGTCTCTGATTGTGGTGGGAAGGGCTTTATGGCAGTGGTTCTCAGCCTCAGCAGGCCCCGCATGGCAGGTTCCTGAGCCATGCCCTGAGATTTGGGTTCTGCAAGTTTGGGTCAAGACCTAGAAATCTACCTTTTAATGAGCAATTCATACAGTGAATCTGAGCCAGCTGCTCTGCTCATGGGGCCTGGAAGAAAACTGATTTCTGGAGTTAGTGCTTTAGGAAGAGATGGGGGACATGGTTAGGGTGGCCAGGGGATCCCACTGAACTTGCACCAACACCGAGGCCCCCAGTCTTCCCAGGGCAGGTCTCCTGTGGGCATCAGAGAAAGTCATCACTTTGTCAACAAGAGTAACAATTGCCGCCATTATTATAAAGCCTTTTATTCTAGCCATCCCTTCCCAAAACCTGAGAGGGGAGGTGGGACCGTTCCTAGTCCTGAAGTATCAAGTTGAGGCCTCTGGAAGCCACGTGATTGGTCTCAGTCCTCCTGAATGATTGTAGCAGATGGGAACCCAAGTCAATGCATTTCCCTGTTTGTCCCGTTGTTGATCATGGGACCAATGCTGTTAGTTGCTGTTTTCACAGAGACCGGGGAGCCAAGGGAGGCTGGGTGGAGGGTGGAGGATGGAAGAGGGAAAAGAAGGTAGGAAATAGTCACCAGGGAGGGTGATTGAGCCAGGGATCTATCATGACATTGCCAGGATGCCGGGACCCACTTGGGGGGCACAAACATGAATTACAGTAATATATGACAGAATGGGTGAGTCCAACCTCACATCCTTCTCTCTCATTTTTGGCTTTCCAGAAGCGCCCCATTGTCTAGGGAGGCAGAAGAGGACACCACCTGGGCAGGGTGCTTCCGTAGCAACCAGACACCCAAAGGTCACCCTGGCCATCTTCAGCGCACCCTCCCAGCACTCCCATGGGCCCTGCCAGCCTGAGCTGCACCCCTTCCCCTCCTCCTGCCCCCTCATCCATCCTGTGTCCTGCCTCAAACCTGAGCCAAGTCTATTTTCTAGGGGCCGATTATGTCTCCAGATAAGAAAGAGTTAAAACAGAGCCATCCAGAGCTGGCACAGTGGCTCACGCCTGTAACCCCAGCACTTTGGGAGGCCAAGGTAGGAGGGCCTCTTGAGTCCAGGAGTTTGAGACAAGCCTGGCCAACACAGCGAGACCCTCATCTCTAAACAAAATAATTTAAAAGTACATTTTTAAAAATTATTTTTAAAAAAGCCATCCGGCCAGGCACAGTAGCTCATGCCTGTAATCCCAGCACTTTGGGAGGCCAAGGCAGGCAGATCACGAGGTCAGGAGATCGAGACCATCCTGGCTAAGACAGTGAAACCCTGTCTCTACTAAAAATACAAAAAATTAGCTGGGTATGGTGGCAGGTGCCTGTAGTCCCAGCTATTTGGGAGGCTGGGACAGGAGAATGGCATGAACTCGGGAGGTGGAGGTTGCAGTGAGCCAAGATTGCGCCACTGCACTCCAGTGTGGGTGACAGAGCGAGACTCCATCTCAAAAGAAAAAAAAAAAAGCTATCCAACAGTAAAACAGGCTGACCTAGGAGACAGCCCACCTCTCTCCCTGGGGTATGTGGCAGCAGCTGAGAAGAGGTGTTAGGGAGAAAGGGGCAGATTTTGGGTTGGGGAGGAACTGCATTCGTTGACCTTGGAGTCTGCAGATCTGTGTTTTCACTTCAGGCTCAGACACACTCTAGCGGATGACATCAGCCAAGTCCACTCGTATGTCTGAACCTCAGTTTCGTCTCCTGTAAGATGGGAACGGTGATGGGGCCCAGCTCCTAAGGTTGCTGTGGGATTCACTGAGCTCATGTCCTCACTGCTTGGCATAGTGAGCTCTCGGTAGTGGGAGCTGTTGCCGCTTCTTTGCAACCCAAAGAAATCTCAGTCTGAAATAGCCAGTGTAGGAAGGAAAGAACATTGATCAGAGACTGATTGGGGCAAAGAGAGGAGATGGTGCTAGAAGCGAAGGTCTCAGGCAGCCCAGCTTGCTGAGCAGGTTAAAGGTGAGACTCTTTTCCCCAAAGCACTGGGCTTTCAGCGTGGGTCACGTCCATGTGAACACACTCTGCCACTTGGCTGCCTCGCTGCCTTGGACAAGGCTGTCGCCCTCTCTGCAGAGTTCTCCCGTGGAGCCTATCTTTCCAGCTTTCCTAACACGTGCAGACGCTCTAGAGTTTCCGAAGCATTTTGCACACAAAAGCCTCTTTGGACCCACCCAACAATTCTTACTTATGATGAAGGTATAATTATTTCCATCTTTCAGATGAGGAAACTGAGTTGAAAGAGGTTGCAGAGTTGGGACTCAGGTCTTCTTTTCCCAAAGTACTGGATTACAGATGTGGGCCACCGGGCCTGGCGGGCTCAGGTCTCTTATTCCTGATCCAATCAATGTTTCTAATGAATCCAAGCTGCTGCTGCTACTCTAGATAAATTAGGCCCCATAGCAAACTTGTCAAGTGATCGTGAGCAAATCACCGTCCTGAGCCCTAGAAGCTCTGCCTGCAGGTGAAGATGAACTTCATGCCATCTGGAGGCCTCCTCCCTATCTATCTATCTATCTATCTATCTATCTATCTATCTATCTATCTATTTGAGATAGAGTCTCACTCTGTCACTGAGGCTGGAGTGCAGTGGCACGATCTCGGCTCACTGCAATGTCTGCCTCCTCGGTTCAAGCGATTCTCTTGCCTCAGCCTCCTGAGTAGTGGGGATTACAGACATGCGCCACCAGGACCAACTAATTTTTGTATTTTTATTAGAGATGGGGTTTCACCATGTTGGCCAAGCTGGTCTTGAACTCCTGACCTCAGGTGATCCACCCACCTTGGCCTCCCAAAGTGCTGGGATTACAGGTGTGAGGCAACATGCCCGGCCTTATTTATTTTATTTTTTTTAACTCAGTCCCAACCCTCCCTTTTTAATAAAATGCTGGACTGGTACTCTGTGGTATTCACTCCTTAGGCAGGGGACTATCTCCTCTAACATGGGCAGGGCTAGTAGGGAAGAGGGACCAAGAAGGTGGCCCAGTTCCTCCCCAAACTGTCTCCAGCCTTGGGCTTAGCACTCCAAGCCACAGGTGTGGCTACTCTGGGGTCAAAACAATGCTCCAGGCTGGCACAGCCGGACTCCGCGTTCCTTTCCTCCCGGGCCGCCCAGGTCCCCCGTCAGCGTGCCTGGCTGCTCCCCAGGGAGCACGGCAAACAAGCCTCTATTGATTCTCCATCTTGGCTAGAAGAATGCCCCTTTGTTGAGCACGTCACCCTCCCCCTCCCCGTGTCCTTGCCCTCAGGAGAGGAGTTCAGGTAGGAGGCAGCAGGCCACGGCTCCTTCCCCAGGGACCCAAGAGGAAAGCAGGGGCAGAACACCGCTCCAGCTCCCGGAGGAGGCCTCCACATCCCACCCTTTTCCCTTCTCCTCTCTGCTCTTTCCCGAGCTTGGGCACTGTTGCCCATCACCCTGGTTACCCGGTCATTACTCATGGGAGGTCCAGTCCCAGATCTCTCAGTGCTAAAACCCACTTCAAGGTCCTGCTCGAATGCCCACTGTTCCATGGAGCCCTGCTAGAATGGGAACCTGCCAAGGTGAGGCTGTACACCTGTGCCCAACCCAGAAATAGGTCTAGAGGGGCATGTCCCAGTCTCAAGGAATAAATTAACCAATTTCTGCGAATGGCGCTACCACCTTCCCAGTCACCCAGGCCTGGAACCTGACCAATCCAATGCCGGGTTGGTTATAAGCTCTGTTGGTTCTTATTGGAAGCCACTTAAACTCCTTAATTTGGACTTCACAGCCCTCTGTTTGGCATCAGCCTGCCCAACCGCATCCCATGTGACCCCTCCTTCTGCTGGACTCTCTACTGCTTATCCATCCACCTACTTTAACCCTGTTTATTGAGCCTATATTATGTGCTGCCATTGCTCTGGGAACTGGAGATGTTGCAGTGAATGAGGTGGAGCCCCCTCCCTCAAGGATCTCACAGTCTCTTTGGAGCAGACAGGCAATAAACATGTACACAAATGACAAATTGTATAGTATCAGAGTATGCTAAGTGCTCTGAAGAAAATCACACAAGTCAAGAGAATAGGGCATGATATAGATGTGTGGGAACCATGAGGAGGCCACTGAGGTAGAGTGAGCACAGTGACCAGAAGGGCTGGGAATCGAGGTCACAGAGGAAGGGCCATGGTGAAGAGTGAATTTTCTGAGGGACAGGCGTGGTCCAACACTTTGGGAGGCTGAGGCGGGTGGATTGCTTGAGCCCAGGAGTTTGAGACCAGCCTGGGCAACATGGCGAAACCTGGTCTCTACAATTTTGTGTGTGTGTATATATATATATGTGTGTGTGTGTGTGTATACATACACACATTATACATTTTATGTATTTTTTACATATATATACACATACATACGCGCGCGCGTGTGTGTGTGTGTGTGTGTATATATATATATATATAAAAATTAGCCAGGTGTGGTGGTGTATGCTTGTAGTCCCAGCTATTTGGGAGGCTGAGGTGAGAGGATCCCTTGAGCTTGGGAGGTTGAGGCTGCAGTGAGCCAAGATTGTGTCACTGCACTCCAGCCTGGGTGACAGAATGAGACTCTCTCTAAAGAAAAGTAAAAAAAACAAACAAAAACAAAAACAAAAAAAACTTCCATGGGGTGTGATGGGAAGCTACTGTCCTGTCTGTGTGCCATGCCCATTCCTCCCAGCTTCATCCCTCTGGGCCTTTTCTCTGAATGACCTCCCCAAGCCTCTCCAGCATCCTTGTTATACTTAGATTTCAGGACCCAAGGTCAGTCATGCCATCATTCTGAAGCCTTCCTTGTTTATCCCAGGCCACATTCATCTCTTCTTCCAAATTCCTGAGATGGTACCTTGGGTCCTGGGGCTTGACTGGACTTCAAGTTCAAATTCTCAAACATGTACTCTGCCCCCACGTCATGCCCATCACTGTGCTGGTGCCACACGTAGGTAACTCATCCAAGCCTTGCCACCTTCCCATGAGGTTCGTAAATTATGCCCAGCTTTTACAGATGGGTAAACTGAGGCTTGGAGCGGTTAAGCAACTTATCTGTGGGCTCACATATAAGGAATGGTGGAGGCAGGATTTGAATGCAGCATCTGATCCCTCAAGTCCAGCTTCATTCTCACTAGCCCTCAGCCACTTCTGCCTTTAGCTAATTTGATCATGGTCCTCAGGGGTCCCCAGACCTGCCCCTAATCTCCTTCCCCATCTTCACTTCTGCATGACCCTCAGCACCCAGGAATCACCACAGTAGGCACCCTGCACTTCTCTATGCCCCCTGCCAGGGGGATGTGGCACTTGCAGAGTGAATGAGCACCCCTAGGGTGACAGCCAAGGCTGCCCATACCTCTCTACTCTCCTGCAGTGGGTTCCTACAGGGAGCCACCAGCCATCCAGTGGAACTAGGGGCCAACGCTTCAGAAGAAGCTGCTATATGCTAGAGTTATGTTATTGTCAATATGACTCTTTCTTCCAGGCCTGTGCATGATGGCATGGGAATAGTCATAACAGCCTTTACTACAGCAACTCTTCACTGGCACCAGCCCATCTTAAGCTTTTCCATTTTGGATTAAATTTAGGATGTCAATAATAATAACAACAATAGCTGTTTTTTTTTTTTTTTTGGAGACACGGCTCACTCTGTCACCCAGGCTGGAGTGCTGTGATCTCTGCTCACTGCAGCCTCAACCTCCCAGGCTCAAGTGATCCTCACAACTTCGCCTCCCGAGTAGCTGGCAAGCAGTTGTGCACCACCACACCCGGCTAATTTTTATATTGTTGTTGAGATGGGATTTTGCCATGTTGCCCAGGCTGATCTCAAACTCCTGGGCTCAAGCCATCCGCCTGCCTGGGCCTCTCAAAGTGCTGAGATTACTTGCTTGTACCACCATGCCTGGCCAACAATAGCTATTTTATCAAAAATATACAAAATGAAAGGAAGCTGCTGGGCACTTTATGTACACTATTTTATTTAATCCTTACAGCAATCCTAGGATGCAGGTTTGATTATTATGCCCATTTTACAGATATAGAAACTGAGTCTCAGGCAGGCAAAGCAACTTGCCTGAGGCCACAGAGCTGATACATGCTGAAACTCAAATCCCAGCTCCACCCTGAGGCTGGTGGACCTCCAAGTCCTTGATCTCAACCTCTGCACCCAGTTCTACAACCAGATAGGTGTTCAGGAGATCCATCACAGGCAGCGGGTAGGTGAGGAAGGCTTAGTTACTGGGGCTCCTCAGAGAGGTGCATACAACCAGGGAAGCTCAAAGCACTGCAGGGACACTGGTCTGAGTGTCAGGAGCCTGGGTCCAGGTCCTGGCTTTGCCTCCTTCCAGCTGTGTGTCCTTGCTTATGTTGCCTACCCTCTCTGCACCTTTATTTCTCCAGCTGTGAAATGGGTTGGTAATAGATTCGCCCTCCAAGCCTGGTGTAAGAAGGAAGTATGATAATGTCTGTGAACATGGTTTGAGGCCCTGAAGCACCACGCTTAGTGCATTATCATCCATTTCCTGAACTTCTAGAATGAGTGAACAGTGAGAGAATCAGGAACAGCATTGGGAGAAGGAGGAGAGGAAAGTGTTGGATCAGGCTTTCTCTGGGTACAGAGAGGCAGGTAAATGTCTTGCTCAGCCAACCTCACATGACAAGAGGAACCTGCTAACTAGGTCACCTTGCAGGAGGAAAGAGCTATTCCGGGATCCGCCTGCAGTTGCAGAGCAGGAGCTGGGGAGCTGAGCTGGCTATTTCAGGGGTGGCACAGAAAGCTCATCCGACAGCTCTCCCTTGGATCTCGGCCCTGCCTTGGGCCTTGGGCCTTAAGAGGCCGGGAGATTCTAGTGGACACTGTGCTGGCACTCTCTGCATGGCTGCCCTCAGGCAGGGGGATCCATCAGGCCATCTGGAACCATCACAGCACGATCTTCCCCATCCCCTGGGAACCACCATCCCAGGCAGCTGTAGGTGAGGGCAGCAAGATGCTAGACTTGCATTTCTCACCCTGACTGGGAGTCTCAGCTCCTGAATGCAATAGTCCTGCAACACCAGGCAGTTTGCTCTAGCATTCTGGGCCTGGGTTTCCTCTCTTGTAACACGGGGATAATGGTGCTTATGTTCCAGGACTGTCTGAGGATTAAATGAGATAATGACATAAAGCACCAAGCGTAAGGTCTGGCCCAGAGGAAGTGCTTGATAAATGGGGATTGTTTCTAACTGAGCTTCTGTGGCATTCCATGCTGCAATCGTGATGGTGGGGAGGGGATGCCTGAGAGAAGGCTGCACCTTGTGGGATGGGAGTACGGGCGGAAGGAGAGGTTATGCCGGAGAAGTTGAGCATTTGAGACTCTGGTTCAAAGAGAAGAATCTTTTGGGAGGAGCCTGGGGCTGTGAGGTCAGTGTGACCCAGGTGAGAATTGCTCAGCTCCCTGCAAAATGAGGCTGAAAATACTTAGCTCTTATGATCTGGCAAGAAATAAGTGAGTTAACATAAAGCCTTTATTTAGCATAGTGCTTGGCACCTAGTAGGTGCTCAAGAAAAGGCAGCTATTATTGTGTTATCTCATTTAGTCCTCATAGCAACCCTGTGAAGAAAGTATTACTATCTCCATTTTATAGATGAGGAAATGGAGGCACAGAGAGGTTAAGTAATTTACGCAGGGTCTCATAGTGAAGAAGCCGTTTTTACTAAGATTTGAATTTAGTCTGACCTTGGAATTTGCACTTTTAAGTACTACTCCCCATGCGTGTGTGTGTGTGTGTGTGAGAGAGAGAGAGATTATGAGAAAGTATGTATAGCTATATGCAGATACGTGAAACAAAAAGATGAAAAGTGCCTAGCATGATATGGTTACATAGTCAGTGATCAGTAACCAGCAGCTGTTGTTGCTGTAATTGTTATTCTCGTCATGACCATTGTTCAGAATTTAATTGGCAATTATGAAATAGGAGTGGCCGGTGAAGGTAGAGAGTGTTCTAAAATATTAGAAAAGGCAACAATCCCATTCTCAAGGGACTTGTCAAAAGGAAGAGGCAAAAGAAGTAACTTTCTTGCAGCATTCTATGTAATTAGGAAACATGGGGGAAATGTATATACTAAATAATAAGGGGGTGATTTCATAAATTTTGGTTGATTGGTGGCTCACACCTGTAATCCCAGGGCTTTGGGAGGCCAAGGTGGGTGGATCACATGAGGTCAGGAGTTCAAGACCAGACTGGCCAACATGGCGAAACCCCGTCTCTACTAAAAACGCAAAACTTAGCCAGGTGTGGTGGTGGATGACTGTTATTCCAGCTACTCAGGAGGCCAAGGCAGGAGGATTACTTGAACCTGGGAGGCGGAGGTTGCAGTGAGCCGAGATCGCACCACTGCACTCCAGCCTGGGCAATAGAGTGAGACGAGAGAGAGAGAGAGAGAGAGAAAGAGAGAAAGGAAGGAAGGAAGGAAGGAAGAGAAAGAAAGAAAGAAAGAAAGAAAGAAAGAAAGAAAGAAAGAAGAAAGAAAAGAAAATGACACATTCATTTAGAAT